TAAACAATTGAAATTTTTGAATACCATGTGAGCTGGCTTTAGGCTACAATAGAACCTATTAATAAGGAAAATTATTTAATTTCTAAAACAACTTCTTAAGTTATTTTATTATTAATATTGTTTCCAAGGACCATTTAAAAATAAATAAATAAAATAACTGCATTGAATCAAAAGCTATTTTACAAGTGAACTGCTATTAAAAGTGTATTAATTTAACTATTGTTCTTTAAACTTTGACCAGATTTTACAGATGCTGCATTTCAACAGGGGATTGAAGATAATTTATTTAACAGCCATCAGCCAAGGTCAGTCAATATCTAATCAGTTTTATTTTAAAATGAAATGAAACTTGAACAAGTAAAAATATGAACCAATCATTACCAACAATTAAATATTATTTATATATCAAACAAAAATGTGAAGCCTCTAGAATTATCATATCAGTGAACTTAGACTGATAAACTTCTGAAATTTTTAAAGTGATGAAATGTTTAAAGTGATGGTAAATTGATGTTTCACCAAACTTAATTTTTAAAAAGTTATAACTTAAATAGAAATATTTTTTTGAGTATGCATGAAGTTCTCAAGGTCATTAGATTTTTTAAAATCAACATTTAACTGTATTTAGTTATTATTTTGTAGGATAATATATTTGATAAAGGAATAAAATAATATTGTTTTTAACAAAATTAAATATTTCAGTGAACATACACCATTAACAAAATTAAAGAAAAAGAAAAGGAAGCCAAGGTCAAAAACACCAAATCTTGATATAGACACATTTGATGAAAACTCTACAGCCCAGACATCATTACACAGTGAGTATGAGACATCCATAGTCCAGACATAATTAAACAGTAAGTTTGAGATGTCTATAGGTCAAACAACATCACATATTGAGGAAATTGTTCATATCAAATTAATAATTTTTTTTTTTTTTTTATCTTCACATCAATTTGTTTGCAAGATTTTTTTTTTCCTCTCAGGTCACACGTTACTTGAGGTCTCTCCATATTCTCCGGCTTTCTTCCCAAATCCCTCCAACACAATGGAAACTCATGTATTTGATGTTGTCCTATCACCAAGACCTGAGTCAGCCCATCAAATTAATAATTTTTTTTTTTTTTTTATCTTCACATCAATTTGTTTGCAAGATTTTTTTTTTCCTCTCAGGTCACACGTTACTTGAGGTCTCTCCATATTCTCCGGCATTCTTCCCAAATCCCTCCAACACAATGGAAACTCATGTATTTGATGTTGTCCTATCACCAAGACCTGAGTCAGCCCAACTGTCTGCAACAGTAAGGCGGGAATTATTTGAATTAACTAACTTAAACAAAAAAATTTTTTTTAAAGTTTGGTTCACATATTTTGATATGGATCAGTGGATTCTATGGTGAAATAATTTTTGTTTTAGCTTCCATCTCTAGTTCGATAAACAGCTTTAGAATAAGCCTATAACACATACAGCACTATAAAGATTTTTAAGGTAAAAAAAAAAGTTTCCCTTTTATTAAGTTTAACATTTCAATTGAATGTAGAGAGTTTAGATTTTGATTTTTTTAAATTGTATTATTTTTTTGTCACTAATATCTTAAAATGTTTGTGCATGAATATTAGTGGATTATCGCTTATCTGCTTTTATGTAAAGTTAAACTTGCTTTTAACAGTGATTACATAAATAACTAACTTTTGGGCCTCATATTATTTTTTAATTTAATTTAGTTTTTGTGATTTCACAAACATTTAACGCTAGTTTGACAAATATTTTTAGTTGTAACCTTGATTGTGTCAGTCTAAACATTTATTTTGATCTTCTTATTAATGCCATTTTTTTCTCAGCAGCTGTACAAAGAACACTCATACTTGCTTTGAAAATAGTACTTTTTGTTTGACTCTATTATCTTGCTGGGGGCATTTTAAAATAATTAAATCAATTTTGTATCTTTCTTGATTGTTTTTTTTTTCTCTAAAATTAAAATTACTTCCTAAAATTTGAAATTAAAATTAAATCTACAAAGTTTTCTCCTTGTCGAGCCTATTTGAGTGTTTCATTGTGCACTATTGCAGTTTGTTTCAAAGCTTAGTTCAAAATTGTTTTTTTTTTTTTTTTTTTTCAAAAACATCTGTATACTTTTAAAATATATACTTTTTTATTTACAGTTTAAACTTAAATTTCACTCTTGCAGGATACAGATGGCAACTTTACATTTTTCTCCTTGTCGAGCCTATTTGAGTGTTTCATTGTGCACTATTGCAGTTTGTTTCAAAGCTTAGTTCAAAATTGTTTTTTTTTTTTTTTTTTTCAAAAACATCTGTATACTTTTAAAATATATACTGTTGTATTTACAGTCTAAACTTAAATTTCACTCTTGCAGGATACAGATGGCAACTTTACAAACTGTTAGCTGAAGACTCCAAGTCGGAGAAACATCTGTTGGCCAGCCATTTTTGTTTGTTTGCATTATCTTTCACCATATCTACTTTTTTTTTTTTTTTTAAAGTATTCTGCAACATCATCTCAGTATGATTAACAGTTGTTCCAAATGATAATTTAAAAAATACATCTTTTGAAGAATACTGCAACATACATTTGGTTATGAACTTTACATTTCCCTTTTCTTATATCACAAATATAATTTTGAAGACACTGTCTCAGAAAATGATATATTTATACACCACTTATCCACATTTATTGTAGAATTATTTTTGTCACTTAGCATAAAGATAATGTAAGTCTTTTGTAATCAATTTTAAAAATGATTGCTCTGAGATGTGGTATCAATTTTTTTTAATGTGCAAATCTAAGCATTTTGTTATTGTGGTAATTCCTATTTTGAAATTCTCCACATTCAGATTTGATTGTATAATACTTTATAATAATGATGTATAGTTTCAAAAATTTTATAATTTTTGTGAAATTCAAAGTGTGTTTAAGCAAAGAAAGATTACTATAGTTTAAATCATTAAAACTTAATCACAAAATATTTATGAAATCTTTATCATTTCATTGATGCATTTTCCATTCTTACTTTTGTATAATTTTGTTGCCGAAAAAGTTATTAAGAAAACTTTATTATCAAGATGTATTTGATACGGTTATCTAATATATGAAAAGACTAATTAAAGCTTGACTAGCAAAGTTTTATAAACCATTATTTTGACATTAAGACTGAGCTTAAACTGTTTTCATTATTTTCTAAATGCAAAATATATTTGATTAAACTACCACCACGTACTGGTATATTAGTTGGCGAAAAGAGGGGAAAATTAACCCATTACCGGTAACGTAAATTGTTGAAATATAAGTCTTATTAAATTAATTTAAATAGGTGCCTTAAAATTAAAGAGGCTCAAGCTTTTGGAAAAAGTTTATGTATTATTCTGTTGGGTTTTTTAAAAAGAAGATGCTTTTTTTTAATGAAAATTTTAATAAAAATAATGATTGTAGTTCTGTGACAAATAATAAATTAACACTTTAAACTTCATATACACCTGTAACTATTGAAAATATTTACTTATAGACAAATTATTATGTTTAAGATCAGTTTAGTAAATATGTCCCTATATTTCTTTAAATTCCATCCATTCCTCAGCTTTACACAATTTTGTACATTCAATTTAGATGTTATTTATTTTCATTGATATGTACAGTCATTTGTTGCCCATTCTTACAGTATTTATTTGTATACATGCTTGATAAATATGCATGTATAAAGGTTTGTTTTGCCTGCTGTTACACGGCATATATGAAAGATATTCTTAATTTTTGGAACATTTCCAACACTACAGGAAAATTTCCAACACTCCTGGAACATTTCGCAGTCCTAAGAAGATCTTGTGGCTTACACCATGAAGTGAACTTGAATCTGTATGCAGGGCCGGCCCTAACAATTGCGGATAATAAGTGAAAATTAAGATTTTGTATTAGAAAATAGATTTGTCTTTGCATTTTATTCATTCTTTACTAAGTACAAAATCACGATCAAATTAACTTTACTTTACAAGCCTTGCGTGTAGCGAAGTCATATAGTATATCATCAAAATTCTGTTTCCTACATAGATCACGCTCAATAGCAAGATTGCCAAATTGTTCAATCTATCTTCGTGAATTGTTGACCTCAAGTAATTCTTGATTAGTGTGAGGTGCAAGAAGCTTCTTTCACCAGATGCCACAGTTACGGGAGTTTAGAGATAAAGCACCCGAGCAGCTACAATTTTTTAAAATTTTATTTACTTGTCGTAATAAATTGAAAAAACGACGTAGTAGATTGAAAAACACTGTAAAAACATAAAAACAGAATAAACACGCTGACCTAGACATGATCATAAGTTATAATGGTTTAATTTCATAATTTACACCTAGAGTTAGCGCTGGGCCTATGAAAGTGCGGGGCCCACTGCGGCCACATAGGTTGCAGTGGCCTAAGGCCGGCCCTGTCTGTATGTGTCATCTTTTTTGGGTTAGTTACAAATAATGCTTCACATTTTATGCATCGATGGCAGGACAAGGTGCCTAACACGTAGGTCTTGGAAATGCAAAAAATGTGTAGCATATAATCCGCTCTTAGAAAGAGGTGCCTTTGCTGATTAGGCCATGTATGGAGAATGAAGGAAGGTCGTATTCCAAAGGATTTGCTGTATGGAGAGTTGGCAGAAGGGACAAGATTTATTCTCGCACTTTTTGCACATCTCACCATTTTAATGGCGGCTTCCATTGATAGTTCATGGTTTTTTGTCATTTTATAGCAATTTTTTGTACCTGGTGACCCATATCAATGTTAAAAAAATATGTGACCTTGAAATATGCAAAAAGGCGTTAGCACTTCCACTGGAATTTTTTATGAAGTTTTTCACATTGAATCTCATTCAAATGTTTTTTAGGACTTATTTAGGCTTAAAAATTCTGCAAGTAATATATGTTTATCCTGAGAGTAAAAAAAAAAAATTGCATACATAAATTATGCAAATCAGGATATCTTATTCGCATAAATGTTGATATCTCAGTTTGATTTATAAAGATCGTACGAGCTCATTCAATTCGCTACAAGAATATATTTTTAGTTTTATATTTTTAAAGTAATTAGTTTATTTTTCATTAAATTCATCTCAAGAGGTTTAATGTACTCCCTATCTGACTACTTATTCAATTCTCTGGACATGAATTTTTGACATACAAACAAATTAATTCATACACTGCTCTGTATTTGATTTTTTGATGTACAAACCAATCAACCTATACTTATACAAATTCATTAGAACATAACTTTTAATGAGTTGTTAACTGTCTGTCATGTATATAAGAATTATACCATTAATTTGTTAATACAACTGCTCAGATTTATTAATAAAATGTTCATCTTTAATGTTAGACTGATTAAATTGCTATTTTTAACTGTTGATGACTAGTTTTTGTTTTTTTTTTGTTTACATGTAAATAGCTTTATTATTGTTAAAAATAACCTCAGCAGTTTTATTTTTACCATTCCATTCTTTAAAAAAATTATGAGTTTATATAATTTAATAATTCAAAGATGAAATTAATCACTTTATTGACATGTTAAAAAATGAACAAGAAATATATGCTCCTTTAAGATGTAATGTTACAAATATAAAATTACAGTAGTCATTCAATGTCATACAGCCACTAACGTCAGCTTAAAAATCTGTCCAACCATGTAACACAGCAGGTCAATCAAAGTCATACAGTCACTTGCATCAGCTTAAAAATCTGTCCAACCATGTAACAACGCAGTCAATCAAAGTCATACAGCCGCTTAACATCAGCTTATTTTATAATGGTTCACATGAGGTAACACACGAGTTAATCAATGTCATACATTTACTTGATTTCAGCTTTAGGATCTGTCATACGAGGCAAGACTGGAAGTATCAGGTTTCCAAAAGAAGAATCCTGTGTAATAAAATATCCCACTGAGTTTGCATGCGCATGCTGTAAATGAGAAACACATATGATTACCAATCGGTTAAAAATATATTATTAATATAAAGGCTGGACTACTAATAATACTATTTATATATTTAAACTATAACAAAATTTATACCAATCATCTTTAATCTCCTTTTATTGGAAAGTTTCAAGATTACAAGTTTTTGCCTGAGTTTTAAAAATAATTGAGAACTGCCAGATGGTATTAAATAGTCTAAAACTCTAAGTCAAAGGTTGTCCAAACCGATATGTAGATATAGGCCATTAGATATTAATATTGTTTCATAATAATATCATAGGCTTTTAAAAGCACAGAGCCAGATTTAACGAATTTTCTATAAATTTTAAAAATAATTTTAAGAACTGAAATTTCAACTTTTCAAAACTTTATGTTTATGTTACTGAACTGAGGTATTTTATTTTTTCATCAATCTCACCTTCTTTTACTTACTTAAATAAACAAGACGAGAAAACCACTGACCTGTAGAGCAGCCCTTTGCTGGGGATTACTTATGCTTGCATATTCAGCTGCTGAAAGCTTTTCAGAAAGATAAATTATAACCATTGTGACAATGTGTGATAAAAGTGTGTAGTTGATGTTACAAATTTGGTCTATCTGGAAAGGGAAAAAGGGGGGGGGGGGTAAAATTCTCTGCCAAAATAGTGAATGCCATTTATGGATGGCTCTTCATAAAACACGATTCACATGCCACATGATTTTAACAAAGATATTAAACACTGATATCAAATATAACAGTATTTATGGGTATATTATTGAAATGAAAAATCGTTACAGAAAGTTTCCAATTTAAGAATGTTCAATGTGCTGGGATCACCCTTGGTGCCCATTACATATTTTATTTCAATATGAGCAAATGGAATGTTCAAAATATTATAACATGAAAAAGCTACAATGTATGCTAAAATATAAGATGACAAAAAAATCAGAAGTATAACAACTCACCCCGGGCACAATGGCTGGTGGTGTGTTGAGAATTGGGCCAGGAGGAGTCACACTCATGGAACTGGACACACTGCTGAAAAAATTAAAATAAATGGAATAGCATAATTCTTTTAGTGTGTTACCTGGATTGTCTGGAACTGGGTGAATCTGTTTAGGTATTTTACCTATTTGATTTATAGTACACATCCTCTCTCACCTGGACCAAGGTAGTTATATCTAGACCATGTAATTTACACCTAGACCATGGTAATGACAACTACATCATGGTAGTTTTAGATTACTCTATTCATCATAATCCCTGATTTCATCTCATTTAAACATTTATCCCTTTTATAATGACAATCTGGTAATAACCCATTCTCACACTAGTCTCTTTCAGACAGTTGTTTTCCCATATAACTATTGATCAGAAATCAAAACAATTCATTTATATTCTATTTGCGCACAAAGTTATGGTATCTTAACATTTAAAATGTCCAACTGGAAATTTTATGGAAGCAACTGAGTGTTGAAATGGAGAACATGGAAGCAACTGGGTGTTGAAATAGAGAGCATGGAAACAAATTAGTAATGAATGGAATTTTTTATATATTTTTTTTTTGTACATATTTCAGATATAATCATCAGTACCCCTTTATATTATCCCAGTGTCTCCCTTAAACTTACTGAGCCTTTTACTGTCTGCCTGGGTCCATCACACTCTAAAAACCACTGACACAATAATATAAACTAGAGTCCACTATTTTAGACCATATACTTATAGTAGACTCTAAATTCATAAATATGAATAATCACAGCTACACATAAACAAACTGCTTTGTAAATCCAGATTTGGCATATTTAGTTCAACACTTTTTAAACTAGATAACCTAGAGCCAAAAAAAATTAATGCACCTTCGATTGGCTTTAAAAGCATAGACAAAATGTTAACGTTCAAATTGAAAAATAATTAAGTACCACTACCAAGTCTTTATAAGCATGTCAACAGGAAGGGATGATAATATGTCTAGAGATTGAATAAATCAACTTACATCAGACTGATGAATGCTACAGAAGAAGTCAACTTTATTTTCCAGTCAATTATCCGTTTATTATTAACTTTACATTTTAGAAGGTATTATTTACGTTAAAGTGTAATATTTTTTCATTTTCAAAATATTTTGACACTTGCATTTTGACTAGCTGATCCTTCCACCAAGTGTTAGCATGGACTCTCAGCAGAACTGATAAAATTTTGATTATGAAAACATTGTAAAAATATCATCATATATAACCTACCTAACAGGATGGCCGTGTTGTAATCGTTTCTTTTGTTCATGAAGGTGTTCAATTATCTTTCTGTTCTGACGTTCTATAAAAAAAACATAGGAAAAGTTACAAAATATTTCGGCAAATCATTTTATTCATGTGGTTAATAACGAAAGCATATATCAAATGCAATTCAATGACGTATCAAGTAGCCAATTCAATGTCGTATTTAAGTGCCCAACTGATGATGTAATAAATAGGCTACTGGTGACATAGTGGTACAGAATGAGCTTACATTAATTCCTAATATTACAAAAGATACCAATGATGAAGAATTCCATGTAGGCCTCTCTCCAAAAATGTTGCTAAACCATTTACCATAATAACCCATCTGAACACATTTGATTACTTGCGTTCTACCCATGGCAGCCATTGCAAAGAATTGGAAAATAAACTATATGAGACAAAAAGGAAAAGGACACATAGCAATTTAGAAGTCAAAATACGGATATAAAAAAAATCTTGAAAAAACGTCAATATTTTTGTTTGAAAATTAGGTGAAACCATTTTATATGGAGCACTGGAGTAAGCATTTGCTCTGGGTCTCCCATTTGCTCTGGGTCTCCCATTTGCTCTGGGTCTCCCATTTGCTCTGGGTCTCCCATTTGCTCTGGGTCTCCCATTTGCTCTGGGTCTCCCATTTGCTCTGGGTCTCCCATTTGCTCTGGGTCTCACATTTGCTCTGGGTCTCACATTTGCTCTGGGTCTCACATTTGCTCTGGGTCTCCCATTTGTCATGGTTAGGGTGGTTGGTTTTCTATTTCGTGACATATTATTTCTATTATTCCCATTTCAAAAAGTTGTAGGTATCATGTAACCTGGTTCAGCTTAAGCTTTAATCATGATAAAATGTATGAATATTTAATCAAGAGTAGATATTGGTGAATTTCCGATACTTGAACCAAGTCTTAAATAATTAACTTCTGCTCCTAAAGATACCTTGATTCACTCCAGCTGTTGGCGGTACATGTGTCAAAGACATTGTATGTAGAATTTATTAAATACGGTTTTGAACAGATGTTTTACAGCACCTGAAAGAAAAATATATAAGAAGTCAGTTGGACTTTATAAAAATTTAAATTATTTGTCAAAGGGGCCATCCATAAATGACATCACACATTAATCGGGGAGGGGGGTGTCACAAATTTGCAACCATGTAGTAGGTGATGTCTAAATGTTGTGATAAATGTGTGATAATAGAGGGGAGGATCCAAATTTGGCCAAAATTATGTTACGTCAATATATGAATGGCTCCTAAATGTCACTCTCTGGCTCAAATCTTAGCAATTTTTAAACTCACTTTATTGGAACTGATTTTCTTAAATTTTTAAATTTTCTATTTCTGGGTTGTTGTTTTTTTCCATGACATAAAATAATTTGTCAAGTCTAGGCTGGGATGTAACTTCATTACTACCCTAAGAGACCAAGTAAGCTTTTCATGTCTATATATATATTCCTGACATGGACTCCAGCTCAAGTCAGTCATCCATGAAGCTAGGTACAGATGCTGAAAGATCATTAAATTTGATGACAATGAGTATGATGCTTGTGGGCAAAAAACTTGGCCCATGAGATTACTTCATAGTCCAAATCCAAATAGCATTTAGACAAAATGGAACGCAGCGCCGCCATTCGCACCTGGGTCGCATTTGACCAATGCTATTCGGATTTCATTTGTGGTTGTTTATTTTAGTTAAACTGAAGAAGTAAGTTTACAAATATATAGTCCATTCAATTATCTTTCATTTGATACCTCATTTTGTCTTATAAACCTAACAATAATATTTTAAATAGTTTTTTAATCTCAACCTCTCACTTCTGGTACCTGGGTGCAAATAGCCACTTCATAATTTTTTATTAAGTATTTTTACTGTAAAGTTAGTAATCATTATTTAGCAGTGCTTTTTTTGTCTTAGAACCAGGTGAATGGCATACCGGCACCTTTTACAACGGATGATCCAAGAAACTTTTGACAATTTTATGTTTGATCCACACGCACTTGAATCACCAAGGCCAATCTACAAATGACTGGTCTGACTACTGGACCTATGAGAAAAAAATATATTTTGTTAAAATAAAGCAGCCATCCATAAATGACATCATGCAATTTTGGCAGATTTTAGACCCTCCACCCACCTCCATCGTCACAAATGTGCCAAGGAATTTAGAAACCCTCATAATAGTAGGCCTATAGTTTGTCATAAACCCGTGACCTCCTATCCCCAATGCTTGACATCATCATTTAAGACCCCTAAAAGATTTACAAGATGATGATTAGTCCTGCCCCTTTTATCTTATGCATCTTCAGTCTGGGACCCATTTACCCAGAAGAGCATCGACAGGTTGGAAGCAGTCCAGCGACGGGCAGCACGCTTTGTCCTGAACCGCTACAGGAATACCTCTAGTGTTGGCAGCATGCTGGAAACACTGGGCTGGTCACTATTGGAGGAACAACGATGACTATCGAGGCTCTCCATGATTTACAAGATAAATAATGGGCTGGTCCACTGCTCCAGCTTTAAATAGAAACACGTCCCTCTCCGCCAGACAGCGACAAGGCCATGACAGGCAGTTCCAGCTCATACCAGCGAGAAGCCAGCATAGGAACTGTTCATTCCTGCCAAAGACAATCAATCAGTGACTGGAACAAGCTTCCAAAAGGAACATTTGAAACGACAACACTTGACACATTTGCGTCTATTGCCTCAGACCTTCCAACCCCCAGTGCATGATACCCTCAGTAAGTAAACCTTGCAACTAGTGAAATATCCTCATCAACACCAGGCACAGAAACATTGCAAATACCTTCTACATGCATAGGAGCCAGGATGATCAATAAATTGATCGTGGACCCTCTATATATATAGAAGAAGTATCAGCATCTTTTTTCTTTTTTTAACAAAAAAGATAAGACTGCTTAATTAGTCTAATAGAATTTAGTAATTATTTATTATATGAATATTACATCATGTAATACAAATTACACATGAAATCACTTTTCACTTTTACGCCTACTTATTAGTACTAAACTAATAACTATGAATATAAATTAAATAATTAGAGTTGGCTTAGCTAAATTGTATTAATACAATATATTTTTAAGTTTCGGTGTCATAATCTGAAATATTAATAGGCTAAACTTAACAGGCCAGTTCAAATAACCATCAATTATTTTCATCATACACTGGTTTATCTGTATAAATAGTATGAGGATATCAACGTGTGCAACCAGGCAAACAAGACCCTAGGGTTCTTAAGGCGAAATCTGAAGATCGCCAACTCAAGTGTGAAAGGAAGAGCCTTTAAAGCCTTTGTCTGGCTGCTTTTAGATTACGCATCTTCAGTCTGGGACACATTTACCCAGAAAAGCATTGACAGGTTGGAGGCAATGGAGGTGGTCTAACGATGGGCAGCACACTTTATTCTGAACCACTACAGGAACACCTCTAGTGTTGGCAGCATGCTGGAAACACTGGGCTGGTCACCATTGGAGGAAAGAAGACGATTATCCAAGCTCTCCATGATGTTCAAGATAAATAATGAGCTGGTTCACTGCTCCAGCATTAAACAGAAACTCGTTCCTCTCACCCCTAGACAGTGACGAGGCCATGACAGGCAGTTCCAGCTTATAACAGCAAGAGCACTGTACAGGAGCTGCACATTCCTGCCAAAGACAATCAAGGCCAAGGACTGGAACATGTTTCCAAAAGGAGCAGTTGAGGTGACAACACATGAGTCTTTTGACGCATGTGTTTGTCTCTTGCCTCAATCCTTCCAAACCCTACTGCAACCAGTGAAATATCCTCCACACAGACAGGCACAGAAACATTGCAAATCCCTGTACATACATAGGATTCAGAATGGTCAATACGTCATTGATCGTAGGCCCTTAATTTAATATATATATATATATATATATATATAAATATATATATATATTATATAGAAGAAGGATAGTGGTAGCCAGTAGTCATAGACTCAGTGACAGTAGTCGACGTCGTTAGTCGAGATGGCCTAGTCCAAAAATAGATACCACGGCCTAATAAGTAATTACGTATTTACCTAGTATTTGAGTTTTATATATATGTCTAAGCTTAGATAATTAGACTAAGTACTTAGCCGAGGCCTACTATTATGATAAACCTAAACAGTACAGTGTAAACATCTACTGCTAAACATAGCAAAATATTTATTGGAAAATAGGGCCTACTCATTCGCTCTTTAATCATAGAAAGACTATCGATACGGCATAGACCACATAATGACTAACATATAAATTTAATTAAACTATAGTATATACATATTAACTTTTTTAAAATCCCAAAATTTATAACAAGGAATTTAAAAAGTGCAGTTTAAATCTTTACTGAGGGTTAAATTAGTGATTTTTGGTCATATAATCCTAACTGAACAATGCTTAAAAAGAAGCCAACAATACATCAAAACACAAAGCACGACAACATATATATAACCATCTCCATTCAACAACAATGGCTGCCCCAGCTGGAGGATATTTAGGCGATCTGAAGGATGATGAAAAGATGAAATTTAAGGATCCTCTGCTTACGGGTCTTGATAAAGACAGCGATGATGATGGGGTGTGTAAATTTGAGTCCTTTAAAATGTGTTATGTTCTATTGTAAGGGAATTTTCAATTTATTTTTTTTTTTAGGTAAAGGGGAGACCCAGATGCCCAGGAAAAAAAAAAAAGCCACCCCTACCCTTTAAATTTTTTAAAAAAGTCACCACCTCTAGCATAGCATAACTAAGTGGCTAAGGCTAAACCATTATTGAGAACTTTAGACATTAGATGAATAGACATTTACTAACCAAACAAAAAAGTCTGATTTGTCATCAATGATAATGTCAAAGACAATCCTCTCAAAGAATAAGTATCAAAACAAAAAACTGCCTTGCCTCAGTTCTCAAGAAGAGATGATATAAAGTGTAAATTACACCCACACTAGCTACTTTGGTATAAACAAATTTAAAAATTAAGAAAATTATATCAAAGTAGTACAAAAAATTTAAAAATTAAGAAAATTATCAAAGTAGTGCAGTATAATTATAATAGAGCAAACTTTAAATTTTAAACAATGAAACCAAAATCAACTGGCTAAAATCATCTTTACGAAGTGGCTATTCGGACCCGGATATCACTCAGAAGTGAGAGGTTGGGATTTAAAAAATATTAAAAATACTACTGTAGGGTTTGTAAGACAAAATTTGGTATCAATTGAAAGATAATTGAATTGACTATAATAGACTATATGTTTGTAAACCTATGTTGTCAGTTTAACTAAAATAAACTACCACTGCTACAAATGAAATCCGAATAACATTTAGTCTAAAGGGTCCTGGGTCCGATTTGCCGCTATTCTTTCATTTGATACCAAATTTTGTCTTACAAACCCTACAATAATATTTTAAATATTTTTTTAATAAACCCAACCTCTCACTTCTGATACCTGGGTCTGAATAGCCGCAGCCCTATCTTTATTAGTTTCTGAGTTATGAATTTTCAAAGTACGACTTTGTTTGTCCGTTTTTAACATGGAACGCATCTCTACATTCTGTGACCCAATTATGCTGTTTGCGTCCCAAGCTATAACTCTCATTTTAGTGATAATTTTATACTACTTTAATTTTCCGAATTAAAGGTGTATAAAAAAGTAACTTTATTTGATAACACTAAGCAATTATAAATAACTTGTAACTTATCTAACTATGCACTATGTATATCATTAAGTTTAATATAATATATATTATTATATGGCTTTTCTGTTTACCAAGTCTATGGCGTCCATTATACCGATATATACTATATAGTCTATATAAGGTAATGCATCCCCTTGATACTAAAATACTGATGACTAATTAATTAAAGCTTTCTCTGACCAATGATTTAATAGTTTTGCACATTGCAATTTTTATAAATGAAACGATAAGAATAATACTATAGCAGCTAGTGACTGTGAATGGCCGTCCATGATGACGTTTTGCACTCAGCAATTTATGATAATTTATAATATGGACTCTACCGTTTTTTTTAACCTCAAATAAAAATATTATTTTTTTGTTTAAATTACTTCTAAGTTCATTCTTAAAAACAAGTTATCAAAAATTTTGATGTAAATAGTGGTAATAATTGAATGTATCCTAAAATGGGGCAGGGTGACCTTATGGTGATGCAGGTTACTTAGATGAACATAAATAATGCCCGACATGTCCTAGCTCAATGAAAATTGTCACATGTATAAATCGATATGTAATGCAAAGGAAGATTTAATAAGAAAGACATATTAAGAAATTTTATTTTAATTATTGTTTCATCTGACTGTTGCTAATTAAATTGATTAAAAATTGATGCTTTAAAATGCCTTGCAAGTCTTTTTATATAATAAAAAATTTGAATATTTTTGTCACCAATAAACATGCAGATGGAAAGTCTTGATCTGGAAGCATCGGCCAAGTCAGAAGAAGGTTCTGTATCTCGCAGCTCCAGCCTTATTGCAAACTTCCGCCTTGATGATGATTATGATGGGGAGACGAGAGATTTGTTTATTATAGTTGATGATCCAGAAAAACACACAAGTACCCTTGAAGCGTATATAACATTTCGAGTTACCACAAAGGTTTGAAATTTATATTTTTATTTCGGGAATCAAATCTGATTTATTTTTTTTTAATTTTTAAAAAGTTTTTAATTTTCTCCTTCTAAGGTTTGATTTGTTTACTATTAGACACTAAACAAGTCCAACATCCCATTGATAATCTTAATCTACCACAAGAATCCATCTAGTTCACAAATATATAAAGCAGCAAGTCCAACATCCCATTGACAATCTTAATCTGCAACAAGAATCCATCTAGTTCACAAGTATATAAAGCATGGCACACATCTTAAACACTATGGCTCAAAATAAACACGCAGTGACAACCCTGGCCGCGTCTGTGGATTGAGGTCTTTAAAGTGAAAGTGCTGGAGTGACTGTACAACGTAACCTGAACAGGACAGCAGTATCAGAACACCCGAACAATGTCAGAGAATATCTCTTCTCCTGCTTAAACTAAACTCAAGTGCTCATTTGTATATTCTGTCAGAATATTTATCTTGTAAAACTATTGCAAGATCATATTTATATCTATTAGTGAAAACCATGAACCCCCCCCCCCCCAATGACAAATTGGCAATTTTTTTTTTAAAACATGCTTTAGAAAGGATAAATGTCTATAACATAAAACTGTTATAGTCACAATATAAATTAATTTTAAACTCTTGGTCTTTTTTGCATTAATATCTTTATATTCTAGAAATTATTTTTTTCCATTAAAGTACGTTTCTGAAATATGGTAATGAAATAAAGTGTATTGAATTGTAATGTAAGATTATTAATAAAAGTAACTAACTAGTAAACTGCTTCCTTGGTTAAAACTGACTAATTAATGGTCATATTTTATTACAGACATCAAGACCAGAGTTTGACGGCACAGAGTTTAGTGTACGCCGACGTTATAATGATTTCTTATGGATTCGCCAGAGGCTTGAGGAAAAACATCCTACTCACCTTGTACCCGTACGTCATATTATAAGCTGTTTAATTAATATCTATTCTACTAACTGTGTACCTGTATGTGAACGTCTTAAGTAATTCAATGTGCATCCTACTCACCTTGTATATGTACGCAACCTTCCAAGTTTGAATATTACAATTCTCTGCACGCCAAGTGCAGGATAAACATAGATTTAAAATATAATGCTGTGAAGTCCTCAAAAGCTTGATAGGATGTAACCTAATCAAGTGTCTGCATCAAAGAATATTTTCCAAATCCATGTGAATGGTTCAAATGTTTCATAAACAGGAGGGAGGGGAGTTGAATTTTGCTTAATCATCTGTGTTTCTTCCCTTAGTTATAAATTAATTAATCACTCTTACTCCATAAAACCCATCAAGAAATCTTTTGTGGATGCTCAGGAAGTACACATGGAGTCTTCATTATTTTAAATATGACAATGTCGAAGCCAACTGGACATGGGGTGTTTCTGAAATCAAGCACACTGTCCAAAGCGAGACTATCAATGACAAGGTTAAGCTTGGTTTTGCAAGATGCAGTACAAGCCAAGTCAGTTGTCTAAGAATATCTGGACCAGGCAAGGTATCGGCACTTAACTAAAATGAAAGTATACAATGCATTTGTGCTCCCTAGGCTTTTTTTATCCTGTGAAATGTGGATAGTCTATCAAAGTCATGGAAAAATGCTGAGCCACATTATAGGACAAGTCTCAGTAAAATCCTAAACATCAAATGGCAGGATGGGGGCTCAGATCCTGAGGTGGGCTCAGATCCTGATGTGGGCTCAGATCCTGAGGTGGGCTCGGATCCTGAGGTGGGCTCAGATCCTGGTGTGGGCTCAGATCCTGAGGTGGGCTCAGATCCTGATGTGGGCTCAGATCCTGAGGTGGGCTCAGATCCTGAGGTGGGCTCAGATCCTGATGTGGGCTCAGATCCTGTAGGACAAGTCTCAGTAAAATCCTAAACATCAAATGGCAGGATGGGGGCTCAGATCCTGAGGTGGGCTCAGATCCTGATGTGGGCTCAGATCCTGAGGTGGGCTCAGATCCTGAGGTGGGCTCAGATCCTGGTGTGGGCTCAGATCCTGAGGTGGGCTCAGATCCTGATGTGGGCTCAGCTCCTGGGGTGGGCTCAGATCCTGATGTGGGCTCAGATCCTGAGGTGGGCTCAGATCCTGAGGTGGGCTCAGATCCTGATGTGGGCTCAGATCCTGAGGTGGGCTCAGATCCTGAGGTGGGCTCAGATCCTGATGTACTCTAACCAACAGCATCTCTAACACTTTAATGCAGTCCCAACTTTGTTGGAAAGATGTCTACTGCTTGCCCAAAAGAATATTCTATGATGAGCACGAGCATAGAAGGCGGTTAGCTGGTGGACAGAAGAAACGCTTTAAAGACAACCTGAAAGCCTCACCGAAAGCATTCGATATAGACACAGACATATGGGAGGAATTGGCAAAGGATCAAGCGTTGTGGCGTTCTTCTGTATTGAAAGGCTTCATTCAGCATGAAGCCAACAGAACAGCGGCTACAGAGCCCAAAAGACATGCCAGAAGAGCCAGGGTGAACTCTGCACCTGGAGATGTCCCATCAATCCCCTGCACTTACTGCACAAGAACATTTCGGGCCAGAA